ACCTCAACTGCTACCACAACAATTAATCACGTAAGCTGAAATGTTTACCATGTGTACTCAGGCGCGTACGCAGGATTTTTTCAAGGGGTGGGGGGAGGGGGGGGGGGGGCGGTGGGTAAGAGGATACTTTTTTTTTTTTTTTGGTCCCCCCAAAAAAATCGCAACGACTCAGCCGACCGCTGAATAAGCGGGGGGAGGGGGGGGGGGGTAAGGTCACCTTTTTTAGGTCAGCCATGGGAATCTTTTTTTTTTTGTATTGTTATTATTAAACAAAAAACAAAAAACAAACAAACAAAAACAAAGGGAGAGGGGTTGTAGGGGGGGGGGTTTATACACATACAAATACCAAAGGGGGGGTTTAACCCCCAACCACCCCCCCCCACCCCCACCCCCGCCCTGCGTACGCGCCTGTGTGTACTCATATCTACACAACATGTAATAAGAATAGTACATTCATTACACATTTCTTATTTTAATCATAATAACATACTAAAATCGTCACATTTCACCCCAGAACAAACAAACGCTGAGAAGTTATATGTATGCACGATATCAATATGATTACAAGTCTTTAATGCGACAACCGTTACTCTCGGGTTCACGATTAAGTAAATTAAATTCTTACGAACGGGTTTCAAAGATCTGTTTCGTGTAGGGGGCCCAGCCTGTTTCTCGTGGTTTGCCAAACTGAATCCAAACATACGCCATTCTCATATCGCTCTTAATTAGCTCAATCGCTCTCCATTAATCACATACAAGACATATAGACCACTCAATTCAACAATGTGTAGCGAAGTGTTAAATGATCTAGACCACGTCTAAGTATTTCAGTCTGAGGTAAATGAATATTTTATACACCAGATAAAAACAAAGTCTCAAAAATGTCTGCGGGGAGTCTGCCTAATATAGTATTTATACGGCAACGTAAAACGGAAATAGCTTCACTTTTTAATACCCCACCAATTGGGTTTATGTACATAAACGTTGAAGACCTAGGGTTAGATTTAGGGTTAGGGTTGTCCTCGGAGAGGGGTTTGATTGTCTAAGAGGGGAATCGTTCAAGCACCGTGTCAGAGATATCCTAGTGCGGCGTATGCATTCCACAGGGGTTTGTGGTACCTGTTTTATAGACACCGCCTGTATGTAGGGTAGGGTTTATCATTTTCTTCTATATCTATGGCTGCGTATATTGTAGTCTCATTTGAAAGCGAAGTGATGATGTTTGTATACATTTTGGAGGGTTATAGGCCAATTTCCTCCTGGTAAATCAACCCCGACCAATTACCAGCGGCACAATTAACCCCATAGACAATTACCCCTGACAAATTTCCCCTTGGAAAAATTACCCCAAAGGACAACCACCCCATGAGGACAATCACCCCCGAAAAATGATCCTCATTAGGTTAATGACCCCCCCCCCCCCTCTCCCCCCTCCCGAGGACAAACCCCCCCTGGAAAATTACCCCTATGACAATTATCCTTCGGAAATTACCTTCTACGATAATCACCCCCTTGTGCGTGTGTGTTTGTGTGTGTGTGTGTGTGTGTGTGTGTGTGTGTGTCCCTGTGCGTGTATAGGCTAAGGGAGCTGAACATGATATCTTTTCTTTTGGCGATAGTTTTAGGGGTTATTGTCCAAGGGGGGGGGGTATTTTCCGGGGTGATTGTCTATAGGGGGTGATTGTCCTTATACGCACTTCAAGTACCCTACCACATTTTAACATTCAAAATAAATTCAGCATACCTTTTCTATCCGAGCCACAGAGGAAAAGGTCCTACACCGGTATTTCAGTGATCAAGAGTTTGTTTACTGTTTTCCCCATAAGTGAAATCTAGGGATAGTGTCGTAACTAATCCTTAAAATGAAGATGAAAAGAACTCGTGGTTATCATGGAGCATATCGTCCGACCTTATCCGGTATAGAAGTTCACAAGCTTAACTAGGCGGGTTTAACTCTAACTGGTATGATATCAAGAAATCTGTCCTCCTTGCATGCTCGAACGTAACCTTTACGAATGTGAGCATTTAAGACCTAGTACAGTAGTACAATGGAGGGGCGTAGGTGATGGAAGTAAGGTTGATAGTCTGAAGTCTGAGTGTCCGAATCTCTGATGATACGTAATGGTTTTTTGTTGATTGGTAAGTCAACAACGGCGGATCAAGCAATTGTAGCTTTTGAATTTTAACGATCGTGTGCGAGTACTTGAACTCTTAATGTAAATATTTTTTGAAAGTCAACTTTTATTCAACTTAACATATTATGAAAGCCTATGTAATTAACAAATCGTCTAATCTAATTAATTGTGTACTTGTGCACCACATGGAGGTGACAAAATAACATGACAATTTGCTAAACTTTTGGTAGCCTGAAGCAAAGTTCATTAGACTAGCAAAACCATATACAGTCAGATGATTCACTGTCTTGCTCTTTGTTCATGCCATCTTTTTGAGAGCAAGAAGGGCATTACTTTGATGTAAAGTGATATGAGTTAATAACGACCTTCTAGCTTCAACAGAAGATTTATTGATCGCTTTTTGTTTTATGTTTTTATTTCACACTGTCAGCTTTGACATAGAAAGTACGTTAGAAACGAAAGTTCGAAGATGTCGTGTCTTATCTTGTGCTCCAATGAGAAACAAAAAATCAGCAAAACATTATTCTGAATGCCTAACTTTTTAACCAAGGAAAGGATTGAGATACCTGTTTGTGAGGAAGACATCTGACGCGTCAAATCTCAGATTACATTCTTATTAGAGAAAAAACATTCCAACTATTACACCAGTCATGAATTTTACACGACCGTTCACAATCTTATAATCGTTATTGAAACAGAGGCAAGTGTAAAGATTGGACGTAGGGTTTACCAAAAGAGTAGGCCAACCATTTTAACCAAAATATGTAATTCATACCAACAAAAATCGGTTTATTTCTTACACAATACCATATACACAGATCATTAATATTAAATAATCACAACGGTGATCGCGTAGCATATGACTGTCTAGTGAGTTTGCAGTTAGCTATTTATTGGTTCATAATTATCGGCAGAAAAACGTACATTGTTAAAAATTTTGAAGGTCAGCCGGCAGCATGCATGAGGTACAAAATGCAAATAAATTATTTTCATTAAACAGTTTTATATATTAAAGATAAATTCCAGTTCTGGTAAAAAAAAATCTCAGAATCAAACGAAACTTACACTGAATGTTCAAGATTACAAATAAATGACATGTGCCAAACAATTTTGGAAGAAAATGTATACTGGCTGAGTAATGAGCATAGAAAGAAAAGGAAATCAAAGTAGTACTAGCCCCGATACCATGTGTGTTTTCCCATATATAGCTTTCTGTGTACAGTGCTTGTTATTACCAAGACTCGGCCAAATAAATTATGATTTTGATGAGTCCAGAACCTTGCAGTGCACACCAATATATACATGCTACATGATCAACTGTTTCTGATCCATTCCACACCTTTTCTTTCACAATGCAATCGCATTACCAGTACTCACATTTATTTTAACTTTAAGTATTACGATGTGTTAATTATGGACATAAATTATGTTAGCGATAATCTGCACAGGAATATTGATAGTGGTAAATTAACAGGGATGGTATTTTTAGAGAAGTTATACACAAAATGGTGTACATGGTAACACACTATCATGGTTTAAATCGTACTTAAAAGGTCGTTAACAGTGCGTACACACTGTCACTGGTGCAAAGGGCAAGATCTGATTTACAGGTTCTCCAGTCAGGAGTACCTCAAGGTTCGATACTCGGACCCCTATTGTTCACCCTCTTTATGCATGATCTGCCCAATAGCGTTGAACATAGTAAGGTGATGTTGTATGCTGATGATACGGCGATTGTGTCCAGAGCCCAAAGGACATAGAGAGTACATTGAATAGTGATCTAGACAGGGTTAAATCAAATTCTTACTTCTAGGGAAACCCAAAAGACTACGACATATTGAGGCACCAATCGACATAAAGAAAGATGGTCTGCAAATTAGACATGTAGAAAATTGTGAAATATCTTGGGATGTGGTTGGACCAGCACCTTATTCTGGAATGAACACATTAAGCATACTTCCAATAAAATTGCTTCAAGGTTGGCACTATTGAGACGTGTCGGAAAATATATAACGATAGACAGTGCCAAGTTATTAGCAAAAGTCTCACCTTCCTAGTATTACCATGTTTGACTGTTGTTGCACCTCATGGTCAAATTGTAATCAATGTCTTCGGGATACACTGATTGAGATGCTTAAACATATGGCTAGGAAAGTTCTCCAAATCAATTTTCCTACCCCAGGTTCAAAGATGTTCTCAAAACTCAAGTGGATAAACATGGAAAAACATTGGCAATTCCAGAAATGTAAACTTATGTTCGATATTATGAACGGTAATTGCCCCTCATATCTTCAAGATAATGTAACAGTCTGCAACAACACATCGTTATAGAAATAGAATATCTTATACTCGTGGATTAGTCATCCCAAAAGTTAAAACTGAAAATGGAAGAAGGGCCTTTGCTCTTAAAGGTGCAATTATCTGGAACAATTACCTACTTAGTTGAGTACGAAATGCCCAAACGAAGCAGTCCTTTTGCACAAGTTATTTGAGAAAAATGTAAGCAATCCCAAAACATATAGTGAAAGCAAATATGGAGTCTGTCACAAACTTGAATATATAGTGCTTACCAATTACAGATTACTGTGTCTCTCACAATTATCCTACAAGTTACAAATTATGTATACTTATGATTCGACACACTGTTACTACGATAAAAGGAATTATTTTCAAAATTTGTTTATGTTTGATTTTCTTGATTTTGTTTTACTTACTGAGTTTACATTTATTGAACTACTGATGGGCTACCCCGTTGAAATAAAACAAAATGAATCAAATAATAAATACAATTATGAATTTGTGCCAAGTAGAATGGATGATAAATCGTGTTGCTCTCTTTAAAACAATGTTGCGTAATATGAATGTTCAAATGGTAGTTTGAAATCCTGCAACTGCAAACTCGTATGAGGGTGCCGCTATTGATTCTCTAGCATTAATCGATGTTTCTGAACCTCTAGGGTCATTGTATAAAACGTCAAACGTAGGCGCCAATGCATGAATGTAGGATGGGGGTGCAGCCTCCTTTTTTACGTCATGGTCATCGCTATGGATCGACGGCGACTGCGTTGTCTCGAACTCTCTACGCGGATGATCGTCCACTGCATGAATGTAGGATGGGGGAGGAGCCTCCGAAATCACGTCATCTTTATAGGTCGACGGCGACTGCGTTGTCCCGAACTCTCTGCGCGGATAATCGTCCGTTTCTGATGACGTCGAACCTCTTCGAAAGATGGTCTGGGCTAGGGGAGCTCGATTGGTTGGTTCAGGAGTAGTAGGTTGGCTAGAGCAGGGAGAGGATGTTCGCGTCGTCCGCCTCTGGTACCATTTGCGGATAGTTTCAATACATATTGAGCATGGTTTCAACACTACGCGTATGCAGCCTACGCAGGAGTTTTTAGGGCTTTTCATGCAGTCCTTCATGATCGGGTATAGGCAGCTTTCCCGCCTGCCTTGGAAGAAAACTATCAAAAGGAGTATGGCTGCCACGATGAACCATATGAGGATTTTGCTTACATCGCTGATACCCGAGGAGTCGCCCTTTCGGCCATGAAGGGCAGTCCAGTATCTCCCTCCAGATCCGTCTAAGAGTTAATTTAAAACAGAATACATGGATTTGTAGCAAAATAAACCTAGACAGAGGGACGACGCATGATCCGACACAATATCCTGCACAATAAATTCTCAATTTCAACCCCGAACCAAACACTATAACTAACCCTAACCTTATCCCTGTTTATTTGATAAGATAAATCAGTGTGCATTTCGTTGCCTGAGCATAATATGTCGGAGCACCAGGCATAGAGGTAGAGATGAAGTGAAAGCGGGCCAAACTGGAGTGAGAGAGGGAGACAGACAGACAGACAGAGAGAGGGGGAGAGGCGGAGAGGCAGAGAGAGAGAGAGACAGAGAGAGATAGAGAGAGAGAGAGAGAGAGAGAGAGAGGGGGAGAAAGAGAGGCGAAAGGGGACACAGAAAGGAGAGAGGGAGAGAGAGAGAGAGAGAGAGAGAGAGGCAGAGCGAGAGAGGCGAAAAGGGGACACAGAAAGGAGAGACATAGAGGGAGAGAGATAGAGAGAGACAGAGAGGAAGAGAGGCAGAGAGGGAGGCAGAGAGGAGAGAGATAGAGACAGAGAGGAGAGAGAGAGAGAAAGAGAGAGAAGAGGGAACAGATGAAGATAGGGAGTAATGGAAAGGTGGGTTATAATGATGTAAATTTTCCATCTTATAATGGGATTTTTTCCTTCTTTTTATGGCCGATGTCGTTAAAAATAAATTAATTCGTACTCCTTATAGATGCTACTTTGCAACCAATTCGAGTAGGAGATTATGATACATCGTTTTCCTTACCTTTTCCTTATAGGATATTTTGTGTTGGTTATGATGTTTTGTATTTCTTATTCTGAACGACAACGATAATTTATCAAGATACATATATCTGAACGTCAAAGGTTGCGGTTCACTTTAAAGATGCCCACAGGAAATAGTAATAATATAAAAATAATAATGATTTTGACCAAATGTGATACTAACCTTGAGTTTTCTTGCATATAAAGTTGTTCTGTTCTTGTTCACAATTTGAATTAGACCATGCTCCGTTTTTATCCAGTTCAAGAGTGTAACATCGTAACTCATTTATCGTCGGGTATCTGAAACTGTACAAGTATAAGAATAATAATAATGATGATAAACAAAATAAAGATAATTATAATGATAAAATGGACCTGGTGCCAGATTAGCCCTGTGCTAAACAAAATTATCCAATAAATTCTACTACTACTAATAAAGATAACAAAGATAATAATAATCTTAATAATATTACCTTGATACTACTACTACTACTACTACTACTACTACTACTACTACTACTACTACTACTACTACTTAAACCGCTACTGTTTAAACCTATAAACCACAACTTACTTGTTGTAATGAAGAGAACTGGAACCATCAAGCCAACGCCTGCTGGAGTTCATTCCTATCCATGCTAAAGATGTCTCATTTCCAAAAGATTCTGAACAAAAGATAAACAATAATAATAATTATAATAATAGTGGACTGATGTTTGGCATATTGCCTCTCCTGGTGCTCAATTATAATTACCCCGGCTTTAGCAATGAACTAGACACGTCTCATCCACATCCACACCTCCATTAAAACAGCTCAGTAACACCAGAGATACATGTACATTGCTAGTATAGGGTATTTATATTTCTCTCTTAAAGTGTTAAAATTTTGTCGGGTATTGTATGCTCCTGTTTTTCCTTCTCCTCCCCTACTCCTCCTCCTCCTCCACCACCACCACCTCCTCCTCCTCCCCTCCAACTCCTCCTCCTCCTCAACCTCCACCTCCTTCTCCTCCACCTCCTCCTCCTCCTCCCCTAAACCTCCTCCTCCTCCTCAACCTCCTTCTCCTCCACCTCCTCCTCCCCCTCCACCTCCACCTCCTCCTCCCCTCCACCTCCTCCTCAACCTCCACCTCCTCCTCCTTCTACTACTACAACTACTACTACTACTACTACTACTACTACTACTACTACTACTACTACTACTACTACTGCTGCTGCTGCTGCTACTACTACTACTGCTACTACTACTACTACTGCTACTATACTACTACTACTACTACTACTACTACTACTACTACTACTGCTGCTGCTACTACTACTACTACTACTACTACTACTACAACTACAACTACTACTACTACTACTACTACTACTACTACTACTACTGCCACTACTACAACTACTACTACTACTACTACTACTACTACTACTACTACTACTACTACTGCTGCTGCTACTACTACTGCTGCTACTACTACTACTGCTACTATACTACTACTACTACTACTACTACTACTACTACTACTACTGCTGCTACTACTACTACTACTACTACTACAACTACTACTACTACTACTACTACTACTACTACTACTACTGCTACTTTTACAACTACTACTACTACTACTACTACTACTACTACTACTACTACCACTACTACTGCTGCTGATACTACTACTGCTGCTACTACTACTGCTACTACTACAACTACTACTACTACTACTACTAATACCCCGTGACTATTACTGGCTGCTAACTTACTGGTAATACATCATTCGTGCTATACCAGCAGAACAGTTTAATATTATCTCACCTAGAAGAAAGTCATTCTCTTCTTGATCAACTATGGATGTCAGGAACCCTCCATCATACCCACATCGTGATGCTGCTTGTTGCCATGGTACTGGTTCGTGGTAGAGTTTGTAGCAGAAACCACGTCTGCTAACCCAACCGCCGGGACAGGACACTTTTGAATCTGTTTAGAAAGAAGGAACTAAAAACTACTCCTGCTACTGATAATAATAATGATCAAGATCACCATCATTATCATCATCATCATCATCATAAATGATAATAATATTGGTTGGTTTCATTCAAAGACTTTACAAGCTAGGGTCCCCCTCAGAAATTTTCAGATGTTCAAACGTTCTTCTACAATTTTAACTACATGATGATGATGATGATGATGATGAACAGCATTTGTATGACGTCATTATGATGTGATTAATCGATCCTCAATGCTTCTCCCCCATGATATTGTGTTCTTTTAAAAAAAAAGTAGGCGAGTTATATCCAAATCGCATACCAAAGTAGACGAACTGCAAAGAGTATCCCGATCCAGTCATGTCTCCATCATTGATGAACTCCACATAGAGACTGGGTCCACTGCTAGTTATTGTAGTCGGGTTTGGTTCTTCGCCACTGCATAATGCAACAATAGATCTGGCAGCGGAATCGGAACCTAGAGTAGAAAACAAGATAGGGATGGGGAGAGATGGTAGGGAGAGAGAGAGAGAGAGAAGTCAAGGTGTTTTTAAATTATTTATGTTCCTAATTTCAAGACCAAGTACACTTTTGGTTAACCCCCAAAAAAACTTTTCTTCAAAATTCTTTAATCTTAGCTATTTGATAAGTAGTAAGTAAGCAAGTTATTAGTATCAATACTCTGCTGTGAAGTTATATATTCTTCTCATATCAAACAAACGAGAGGTGAACAAATGCTAACGATATCAACTTGTACCAGACACGTGTAAAACCTCTATACAGTGCGTCCCAGAAAAAAACGAAACCGAGAATCTTTGTTCATGGCTGATCGTCAACGAAACGGAGTTAAGTCTTTTGTCAACTCTGTTTGTTGCTACGCCAGGCAGCCAGTGAAAACGAACTCGTTTATTATGGAAATGCAAGTACTACTTTAAACAAACAGAACTTTGTTATTCCTGGCTCGATTTTCCTGATTGAGGTGTCATATGAAAGGGCAGGAATTGAACTTTCTAGAAATGTGATTTTCTCCTTGAAATTCAGATACCGCCCGCCAAATAACTTTTTGGTTTCCTCTTTTCAAATTGTTTTTAATCACTCATGCGTAAAATGTGCATCATATGAGTTGCATCAAATGAAAGAGGAGGATCTAAGCTTTACAAATACTTGTCATTTATTAATTATAATTGTGATTAAGTAATGATAAATCATCGATAATTTTTGGTTTCGTTTTTTCTTGGACGCACTGTATAGTTGTCAGCTGTGTGTGATTTCTTGATTATTATTACAAATATTTCGCATCTAAAGCCTTTTGAAACACCATTTATTGTATGCTTTAACCTGAAGGATAATTAGTTTTCATCATTTCCTTCCTATTCTTATAGCAGTATTTAATCTTTGTCCCCTTCAGGTAGCGCATTGGACACGTACCTAGCTCTCTGCCCCCCCCCCCCCCCCCCCCCCCATTTAGATTAGTATCTGAGACTGTGTAATTGTTCAAATAATCATTATATTTTACGATTGTAAACATGATCTTTCCAAGCTATAGGACTTTATTATCATTTCATCTTTTACAAATATTGTTCCACTATTTATTACAAAAATGCATTACGATTTTCACTTCAACATGTGGTATTACCACATTTTAATGGTCCAGACATGCATTAAATCATTCTTACAATCTAATTCCTCTTTGAAACGTAATGATATAAATATAGAGAGAGAGACTGGTTACCGTCTTTTATCAATAAATAGTCACTGTCGCAACAACATTCTAAATCAACATGCACCACTCGGACTTGAATTAGCCACGTGCGTTCTGCATCTGGAACAGCAATCTTCCACGAGCACGGGTAGATTGTCGATTTCAGTAGTTGAGGTCTTGAATTAAACTCCAATGTTTCCCCGGGATTTGAGCACTGAGCTGTGAAATGAAGAGCATAACAGAAACACAGTCATATCCTCAATCACATGATCATCATGATCATCATGATCATCAACGTCATATAATTATCCCCATCGTCATCATCACTATCATCATCATCATCATCATCATCATCGTAGTCGTCCTCGTCATCTAACCGTTTTGAGTTATGTACCTTTACAGTGAGACGGCAGTTCTAGTGCTATCATGAATGTGATTATACAATTCAAAAAGGATTTTTCTACCAGACTGCTACAACATTTATTTCGTATATAAACAGCCCCAAGCTCACTTGAATTAATATGATGTTGACATCATCATCATCACCATGAGTTTGAGTTGTTGAGTTTATTTTATTTATACACGGTAAAAGCCCGAAACAGTTCGCAGACTGGTTTCAATCAGGGCCGTGTCGATAAAAAAAACAACATAATCATGACATATTAACAAAAGTAATATAACACTGACAGATTCACAACCATAACACGACAATAATAGGAAATAAGCTAAAAACACTTTACTTAATTAGAACTATATTGGTAGACCCAAAAGATAAACAATTAAATAAGTTACATATATGATCATCATAATCTGTTTGCATATATATATATATATATATATAAAGTAAAAACAAAAAGAAGTTTAACAAGATTATAAATAAGTTAAAAACATATTATGTATTCATGTTAAATATTAAATAATCAAACTTTAAAACAATAAACAAAAGAAAACACACATAATGTAGAATGTGTAATAATTGTGAAATTAAGACAAATGCGTATTCCATATTAAGTAGAAGTAAAATCATCATCATCATCATCATCATCATCATCACCACCATCATCAATGTCCTATATTATTATCATCATCATCATCACCACCACCACCATCATAATCATCACCATCATCACCACCACCACCATCATAATCATCACCTTCGCCATCATCACCACCACCAACGTTATTATTATTATCATCATCATCGTCATCCTCATCATCATTATACAGTTCTCTTCATATAACCGTTTTTTTGTGTTACGTACCTTTACAGGGAGACGACAGTTCGAGCGCTATCATGACGCTGATTATACAATTCAAAAAGAATTTTCTACCAGATTGCTACAACATAAAAAAATTGAGAACAAATATTATATCCTGGGACAAAAAGGAAGTCAATTTTTTTTTCTCAATGGTTTGACCATATAAAGTGATTTGATTTTGATTTGATTTATTGATTCATGCATTCTTCATACAATAATTATCAGTAACAACATGAACATTATGTACATAGTACATTTTTCAAATCACAATGAATAAAACAATTTATGAAGCAAGATGTTTGGAACGATTGACAAAGCAGATACAGAAGAATGGTGGGGAAACATTTATGTTATCAATTTCAGATAATTAAGCAGACACACGATTAAACGTGGGAATATTATTTAGAATCTATTACCCTCGCATTGAACAGAGAGTTAGTAACACAATAACATTTTACTTACCTTATTTTTATTTCGGGTATTTGCTAAAACGGTTCGCATTCTTTTTCTTGTATCCATGATCACTTTCCAGCACTGAAACAGGAGGAATATACAGACCGCTGTTCGGTTGGGCCCACACAATCATAAAGACTGAAATCACAATACCTTGTCCCAACATTAATGAGAGTTTCAATAATATTTCAGATGCACTCTAAGAAATATTGAGTAAAATTTTACTCAAAATGAAGTCGTATGGGCACATGGTCAGAATTGAGTAAAGGTTTTTAATCAACTAGATGGGTAATATTTTACCCATTATTGAGCTTTGTTTTACTCAGTGAATAGTAAAGTGTGTTTTACTCAAATTTCAGGTAATTTTCTTTTTACTAAAATAAGGCCAGAAAACTCCTTTCACAATGCTCCTTGTGGTTTAATTTATGTTTTACATCAAATTTGACCATGTGTCCTTTTTCATATGTGTCATGTGTAAACGTCATTTTAGTCATAAATTAGCAATTCATTATGTAAATCAATTTTTATTTGGTAATGTCATCATGGACCCCAATGTTCCTTTTTACAGGACATATCTTTAAACTCTGCTGAAAATGAACTCCAAGGCCAAGACGGAATGATGTTATGTTATGAAATTATGCATATAAATAGAGCCTCAAAACCAGTATGCATGAAACTCACAGAAAAGTGGAATATGCCAGTATATAATTGTCCAAATTAAAAAAAAAAACATATCTGAAAAAGACTCCATAACGTTACAAAGCAGGCGGTACCTTAATGCCGGTGTGTAGTTTACAAAAAGATCTTTTAATTTCTTCATCTTATAACAAGAAAGCAAATATTAAAATGCATATCAAAACACAGAACATTAAGAAATCTAAGGAAATTCAGCCTAAAAAAAAAAGAAGGGAGAAAAAAAGAAGCCCAACATTTATTATTGTAGAAACAAGAAGTAAAAGGTAGTTGCATAATTAGAAAAATAAGACACTTTTGTATTTAGCAATTAGAGATAATGATCAGATGATTACAGTCTACCCTCTAAAATTTGACTTCAAAAGAACTTCAATAATCTGCAGAGCAAACAAGAAAAAATGGCTCTTGTTCTTTAACACTTAACACGCTTAGGAAAGAAAAAATACAATTTTTTTTTAATCTTCCATTTTTCAAAAATTTTCATATTCAAGCTGATTCTAACAAATTTTCGCAGCATGAAAGAGTATGCAATTTTGTGTCAAAATTGAAGAAGGCTGAAGCATCTGTTCCATGTAATTTCTCATTGTTTTTACAAAAAGAAAAACACTAAAAATGTAGCTGATAGAAACCGTGGTCACTATTATTCTGGCTTTTTCACTAATGCACTCACACCCAATATCCACTCAGAATTAGTAGAATGGCTTCATACCAGTGCCAGTTTATGGGTTTCGCAAAAACCATGATGTTTGCCCCATTTGTGTGAAGTAGTCCTGGCCACATGGGAATGTGAATTTTGTTGTATTGGCATATATATAATTAACAAATACAGAAAATGGCATGTACATAAGCCATAAATTTGGTTCACAATAAAAATCTCAATATATGCTTTTAACATTTTGGCTGCATACAACTATAACAATGAAACATGCCCAGGACAATATGCAACACAAGAAAGCAAATATTAAAATGCATATCAAAACACAGAACATTAAGAAATCTAAGGAAATTCAGCCTAAAAAAAAAAGAAGGGAGAAAAAAAGAAGCCCAACATTTATTATTGTAGAAACAAGAAGTAAAAGGTAGTTGCATAATTAGAAAAATAAGACACTTTTGTATTTAGCATTTAGAGATAATGATCAGATGATTATAGTCTACCCTCTAAAATTTGACTTCAAAAGAACTTCAATAATCTGCAGAGCAAACAAGAAAAAATGGCTCTTGTTCTTTAACACTTAATACGCTTAGGAAAGAAAAAATACAATTTTTTTTAATCTTCCATTTTTCAAAAATTTCATATTCAAGCTGATTCTAACAAATTTTCACAGCATGAAAGAGTGTGCAATTTTGTGTCAAAATTGAAGAAGGCTGAAGCATCTGTTCCATGTAATTTCTCATTGTTTTTACAAGAAGAAAAACACTAAAAATGTAGCTGATAGAAACCGTGGTCACTATTATTTTGGCATTTTCACTAATGCACTCACACCCAATATCCACTCAGAATTAGTAGAATGGCTTCATACCAGTGCCAGTTTATGGGTTTCGCAAAAACCATGATGTTTGCCCCATTTGTGTGAAGTAGTCCTGGCCACATTTTTGTTTGTATTTTGTTGTATTGGCATATATATAATTAACAAATACAGAAAATGGCATGTACATAAGCCATAAATTTGGTTCACAATAAAAATCTCAATATATGCTGTTAACGTTTTGGCTGCATATAACTACAACAATGAAACATGCCCAGGACAATATGCAACACAAGAGTTGCCCTCATATAAAAACCAATGCTAATTCAAAATGTTACAAATTCGAAGAGTTGTTGATTATTTGAGAGAACAATGGAGAGCACATTGCAAGCATCTTTCTGTATGATTGGTTTTTCCAAAGAACATGAATATGATGTTATTAAAATCCTAAGATAACAACAGGAATTGTAAATCTAAAAACTGTGCTGCATTACCAAGAGAATAAAAAAAAACTAAACACTTAGAAAATTTTCATTATAAAGAAAACCAATTTATGAACCCCAAATTATACATATTTTGGAAGAGTAACTTTTCCCGCATCTTCGTCACCATTTAATGTGGAATGTGTTTACGCTTGGTTGAACATGGTGCATTGTTTGCGAACATGTATAATTCGACTTGTGCCAAAAAATCAAAACAACAAAAAAGCAACTCCATCCTGATCAAAGTGGCATAACATTTTAACGAAAAGGTTTTGAGCAAAGTAACTTAGCAAGAGTGCTGTTACACCTATCGACTAAATTCTGTGTAAAGATTAGATTGATCTATCAAGTTATTCTATGAGTGAGCACACATCAAAGAGAAAATGGTCACTTATAGACATAAGAAGGACTATTGATACTCTTGAAAAGTGATCATTGTTTTCTTTGACGTGTGCTCACTCGTGAATGGCTCCACGGATCTATCTCATTTTTTTTACACAGAATGTAGTTGTTAGGTGTAAGAACACTTCTTTTAAGTTAATTGCTCAATACTGTTCCGTTAAAAAGTTACACCAGTTTGATATGTGTGGGGTTGTTTTTTGGGGGTTATTTCAACTACACCCCTACTTTGACACTTTTTACATCTTTTGATCAATGTGCTATGTTCATCCAAACGTAAACACATACCACACAAAAATGGTACCGAAGATGTGGGAGGAGTTACTCTTTCAAAATATTATAATAGTTTGGGGTTCATAAATCTGTTTTCTTTTTAATGACAATTTTCTAAGTGATCATTTCAATTTCAAAAGGCCTGTTGATAGAACAACACATTCCAAGGCTTTATTTCTGGTTGAAATGGTAATATGCCCTGAAGGCTCTCACTGCACCAGACTCTTGAGCTCCTGGTTTGACATCAAAAGCAATGGTGTCCATCACGACCCACATTGCTCTTGCCTGGCATGGATACTGTAGATCAAAGATCTGAAAGATCTTGTAGCACAAATCTACAGCTGCAACGAGACTCTTCTGCTCAAGAACGTGGTGCTCCAATACAACAAAAGTCTGAGCTGGATTGCAGAAGTGTCCTCCTAGGGCTAGGATGAAAGGTTGGTTCCTCCCATGCGAAGATTTGTATGCCTCTACATTGGTCCCTTCCTGACATGAAAGAAAAGAAAAAAAATTGCCACCATGAAATGTGCATAATAATTGCTTGTAACACACTCTCATATGCTGAAGTACAGTTGAAATGTAATGTTAGGTGCATCAGAAATTATCCAGGGGGTATTATTACTTATTTGACTGACCATTAAATCTAATCTTTAAATATACAGTGACATTGTTATCGACCAACTTAGTTATTCCTGGGTATGGAAAGAAACAATAGTGATATTGTGTCTTGGAAAGTTGCAAAAATAAGTAGAAATATCTCCAGCTAAGGTGCCACATATATCCACAGCCCATTGTGAAATATTTGCCATAGAATGTATCATCCCACAAAATTTGAGAGAAGGGCTATTTCATGTAATGCTTCTCACTTTCACCTTCTTACCCTCTAACCACTTCCCCTTCCCAATCTACCAAAAAAAAAAAACAGTTCTTTTTTGGAATGGCCATGAATCTTCTCATTGCTATAATTACCTTTTGAAAGTCAATGAAATTATCCAAGGCTTCTTGGATGGAAGCTCTTCCTCCCTTTGTTGACTTCTTTCCAGGGAACAAATGCGAGAGAAGGCAAAATGCCAGGTTCATCCTCTCATCTGTATCAATAATATTAAAGAAAATTTCTTTAGACTGATGATACATGTTTATCATATTTTCATGCACTATTTGACTCGGCCTTCATTGTATCCATCGACTTAAAAAAAAATATTTGTGACGACTTTTAATGCTGAAATCTATAAATGAAAAATAAATAAAAAATAGATGGAATCACAACTGCACAGTCAAAATTAACCCCTCCCCCCTTCCGATGTATATATGGGTTTGTTATTTGTTCCTTCTTCAAACATAATGTAAATAAGATTTAATCTGAAAACTTG